AAATCTTTATTTTATCATTAAAAAGGCACCAAAATAAATCAAAAATCATTCGAAAATTAATTATTTAAAAACAAATTAATTAAATATTCAATCATTAAAATTTTGACAGTTGACGTTTCAATTTATAACCACACCTTCGTTGTTTACACCCAAAACCTGAATCATCGTTTTAATAACTTCTTAATAACTTTAATTTTTTTATTTTATAAAGATTTAATCAAAAATGAGTTACGGAATGAAATCGCCAAGCCACGGAACTCCGAGCGTTTATTCGCACGTCACCACAAGAAGTAGCGCAAATTTACGAAGCAGTCGCAGCATAAAATCGCTAAAAGTGCCTTGGTATCATAAACCGATCATAGAAAAATCGATTTTCTTAGATGTGCAACGTAGCTGTATGGTTACAGCGGTTTTTTCGCTGGTAAGTTTAATAAATTGTTGAAAATATCGAAATGGGTTAACATAACCTAAAAAATTTTTTTTGAATTTTTTAGCTTTTATCGATTTTTACGATCGTTACTGGGATATTCGATATTTATTGTTATGCGATGGCAGCCCCTGGATCAACACATTACGGTTATTATTTGATTTCGTACGAATTCGTTTATGTTGGAAATAGACATGGTGAGATTGAGGTTATGTTGAGTGTCAAAAATTAATTTGATTCATTTTTAGTGAGAAATGCATTGAATATGTTTGCCGTTTTTTCCGTTTTATTTGGAATTGCAGTTTTTATAACCAGCATTATGTTAATTGTTGCTTTAAGACAGGTTTTTATCCCAAATTTTTGTTGTTTTATAAAATGTGAGGTTATTTTTTTTTAGGAATATGAGAAACGAATGGTTCCTTGGTTAGTGGCGTTTTTAAGCTTTACAATTCTCCGATTTTTGGCCTTTTTATTCTTTGCGTTTGTAAACGACTTAATATTCGCCTACAACATTTTTATGGTCATTCTATGGATCACTTTCTTTTTGTTATCCGTTTATGGATGGTTGTTGGTTTATTCGTTTTACATCGAATTGAGCGATATTTCGAAATTGGAGGATTTGGCTAATTTGCGGGTAAATTTTCTTACCTTTATTGTAATTAAAAAGTTATTAACGTTTCTATGCTTTTATTAAAATGAATTAATTTATTAAATCTAGCTTAGAGAAAGATAGCAAATAATGGGTAAGATTTATGTTGAGAGAATTCGCTAACATGGTCACTGCTTTTTTAGGAAAAATTCAAGAATGATCATATTGCTTAAAAATCGACGATTTTTTTTTAATCAATATCAAATGACCAAAAAACAACGAAAAATCATTTTAAAGTTTTGATGTGACGACAATGTTAACCTAAGACTTATATACAGGGGGTTTTAATCTAAATCATCTGAAAGAGGATTAAAAATCCTTTAAAATGAGCCCAAACACGACATATTTATCTTAAAAAATAACGGAGATAACCTGATTAATAATAAAAAAATCGGCCATTTTGAATCGATTTTCAATTTTTTTTTATAAAATCGCGATATCTTCGTTGTTTTTTGAGATAAATTAGCCGAGTTTGGGCTCATTTTAAACGATTTTTAATTATCTTTAAGATGGTAATTATAAAAATGATTTTTAACTTAAATCATCTTAAAGAGGATTAAAAATGCTTTAAAATGAACCCAAACACGATATAATTATCTTAAAAAACAACCAAGATAACCTAATTAATAATTAAAAAAATCGGCCATTTTGAACCGATTTTCAATTTTTTTTTTAATAAAATCGCCATATCTTCGTTATTTTTTGAGATAAATTAGCCGAGTTTGGGCTCATTTTAATCGATTTTTAATTATCTTTAAGATGGTAATAATAAAAATGATTTTTAACCTAAATCATCTTAAAGAGGATTAAAAATGCTTTAAAATGAACCCAAACACGATATAATTATCTTAAAAAACAACCAAGATAACCTAATTAATAATTAAAAAAATCGGCCATTTTGAACCGATTTTCAATTTTTTTTTTAATAAAATCGCCATATCTTCGTTATTTTTTGAGATAAATTAGCCGAGTTTGGGCTCATTTTAATCGATTTTTAATTATCTTTAAGATGGTAATACATATGAAGATGTAACAGTGAAAAGGCAATTTGTCACAAGGATATTAAAAGAGAAATTATTAAAAAATAAACAATAAAACATATCACATCAAATCAGAGCTATTAATAACAGTGGTCTTTTGCAAATAATTAAAAATATTCTTTTAGCTTGTTATTGTTACTAGTGTTTGGTAAAATTGTACATTCTTGTTCAGCTAGATTCTTCTGTATTGGTGGAAATTCTGCTTCTAAAAATAGACTGTGTATTTTTTCACATCCGTTTTTTTCCCATTACTTAATTTTTCCTATACAAAAAAGGGAATGTGTTTAATTTTATTATATGTAATATAAATATACAGCACTTTTTATTTAATAAATCCACTATGAAGGAATTTAGAAGAATGAAATTTGGCTAATAATAAATGTTGTTAATAAAATGACACTTTTTGACGATTTTTATAACCTAAAAATGTTATTACAAGAGGCTGAAAAAATCAACCCCTACAATACTTTGCATCAGAACTTTTTCATGCGTCTACATTTTTCTATTTAAAAACTTGATTTAAATAGAGGAGTTCAATACGCAACTTTTTTGTCTCTTGACATTTTCTCCTAAAATTGTTAGTTTGATCACAAAGAAATAAAATAATACACGGGCTTAAATGCATTAATTCAGAGATTGGTTATTATTAGTCAAAGAAATGATGTTATGTCAAATTGATCTCAGCATTATTTTATTTTTTGTGATCAAATTAACAATTTGTTAGTTGTAAAATGTCAAGAAATAAAGTTGCAGATTTTTCCTTTAACTTTACAGGGCTAATTTTTGCTGAAAAATCACCCCTTGAAATCTTTCGCATCAATTTAGAAACACTCTGTATATTAAAAAAGTACGGGGTATGGCAAAACTCAGTTAACTGATATTATTAAATTAATAAAAATATGTGGGTGCAAGTTCTGTCCTGTTTACCATATAGCCAATCATGTTCATGAGTGATATAACTTTTGGGGAACTTTGACACGAAGCTTAAAACACGGCAAAAATAAAAAGAACGAAGTGAAATTACCAAGAAAAAAATTAAAACGAAACCAATTCAGAAGTAGTTACATTCATTTGAATATCACGCGAGCTTCGTGAGATTTTAAAAATTTCGTTGGAATATTAAGAATTTACACATATATATATATGTATATTTGACACCATTAACTTGTTTCGTCTATTTCCAGTAATAAGAAAATGTTTTAAATCGGTTTTAACAANGTAAATCATCTTAAAGAGGATTAAAAATGCTTTAAAATGAACCCAAACACGATATAATTATCTTAAAAAACAACCAAGATAACCTAATTAATAATAAAAAAATCGGCCATTTTGAATCGATTTTCAATTTTTTTTTTAATAAAATCGCGATATCTTCGTTGTTTTTTGAGATAAATTAGCCGAGTTTGGGCTCATTTTAAACGATTTTTAATTATCTTTAAGATGGTAACACTAAAAATGATTTTTAACCTAAATCATCTTAAAGAGGATTAAAAATGCTTTAAAATGAACCCAAACACGATATAATTATCTTAAAAAACAGCCAAGATAACCTCATTAATAATAAAAAAAATCGGCCATTTTGAATCGATTTTCAATTTTTTTTTTTAATTAAATCGCGATATCTTCGTTATTTTTTGAGATAAATTAGCCGAGTTTAGGCTCATTTTAATCGATTTTTAATTATCTTTAAGATGGTAGAAATAAATACTTTTTTTTTTCTATACGTATATTAAAAATATATACAGGGTGTCTTACATAACTAGTTCGTTAGAACTTTTTTAGGTTCCACTATTCGTACAGTTTTGAAATTTTGGTAGCATAGGTTGTTCATTCAGAACTTTCGATCTAAATTATTTTCAAGATGGCCGCCACTTCCGGTCTACCGGAAATAAACCATAACTTCGCTATTTTAAATGGAATGCTATAGTTTTTATTACACCTTTTAATTGTACATAAAAAAATATGTTGACTTTCATAAAAGTTATTGGTACCTAGCGTTTTTCGTTTTCGAGTTATTTTGGTTTTAAGCTTTTTTTGGCGAATTTCACCATGCTCTTTAAAACCCCATATCTCAGCCAACGTTCATTCAAGAAAACTCTAAATTGGCACGATTACTCTTCAGATGCTGCTAAATAGATTACCATTTGTTGTGTCAGAGTATCTTATACAGGAAGGTCAGAAATTGAATTACTGTTTCTCCATATTCAATGGGGAGAAAGTTCGTAAATAATGTTAAGTCAAAAGGACGATTTCGTCAAAATCTAAATGAAATAGGAACCCCGTTGGCTAGACCAGAGTATTATTGCTTATTATCTTCTTAAAACATTGCGAAAAATGTTGAGATTAGCATAAATTTCTACAAATTCTGCAACTTGGTTGGAAAAGATGCAGCACATATTACGTAACTGATTCCAGAAAGTTCAGAATCAATTCTAAGTATTTAGACAACGTTTAGGTTGGACTTCATTCTATTGCCACACTTACAATAGATTCTAAAAGATTCTGGTGTTATTCAAAGCTGCGTTTTGAAACTTTCCAAACATATTCCATTTGCATTATTACATCATACATTTTGGCAAATACTAAAACTTATCAGACTCAGTTTTGAGTGTTCATATAAAATTATGCAAGTTGGTAGGAAAAGATGCAGTACATTTTGGGATGTGGTAACTGTTTCCAGAAAGTTGAAAATCAATTCTAAGTACTTCTTAGACAATGTTGAGGTTGGTGTTGTTGAAAGCTGCGTTTTGAAACAAATTTAGTAACTTATGATTGGATCGACTTTCTTTTCAGTGCATAATAGTTCTAATGCTACTGGTAATTCTAATTGTAATTCAGCTTTAGATTCTTCTATATTTTGTTGTAAAAAATACTTCTGTCATTTTCTATTTCGTTACAAAACTAGCTTTCCATGATTATTTGCAAATCTCGGGTTGAGCAAAATCTTATATACTTCTATCATATCATATTCATCAATATGAAAAAAAAAACTCTTTGAGTACTTTCCATTTAGTTGGGAAAACCAATTTCCATTGAATTTTTGATTTATTTATTTGCCTCATATTCCTCATCACTTATAAATAGTAAGAAATGTGGACCAAAATCGTTTTGGCCGTCTTCCACTTTTCTGCACACGAATATTTTCCGAAATTGTTGCATATTTCCATATGAGAAGAACTTCTGATTATTTTGTAATCAATTTTTTAGTTGGAACTACATCGCATTCCCCATCATATCCAATACACCAAAAAAAGAAATTTTTTTTGAACGTCCAATTCCAATTTATTTGGAAAATCAATTTCCATTGAATTCTTTCAGATTTTTGGTTGAAGAAAATTTTTGACCAATTTCATTTTAACAGAATCGTATCCCCAGCACTTATAAGCACTTTATATGGAGCAAAAATACGTTTTGGCCATCTTCAACTTTTCTGGAAACCGGGTTTTTTTTTGAAATTCTTCCAAATTTTGATTTGAGCAGAACTTTTAACTCTGTCAATTAAAAAATAGCTGTATTGCATTATTCTTTGTTTATAACTTTGTTATAAATTATGTTTGTCATTTCTTATTACTTTGCAAATCCGGATTTTCTTTCAATTTTTGCTAATTATGGGTTGAACAGAATTTCTGATCAATTTAAATTAACCTGCAACATATACCTTGTTGCCAATAGCAATAAATATAGAAAGAAAACTACTTTTACCAATTCCTATTTTTTTACTAAACCAATTTTTGCAAGTTTTAGTATGAGCAGAATTTTCTAACTCTAGTTTTAATTGTTATTCAGTGTTAGATTGTTGTATATTTTGTTATAAAAAATACTTCTGTCATTTTCTATTTCATTACAAAACTAATTTTCCATGATCTTTTGCAAATTGCTCGTTGAGCAGAATCTTTAATCAGTTTAATTTGAACTGCAGCAGATTCCTCATCATGTTTATAATTCAAATATTGCAAAAAAATACTTCTGCCATTTTCTATTTTATTACAAAACTAGTTTTCTATGATTTTTATGCAAATTTCGGGTTGAACAGAGTCTTTAATCAATTTAACTTAAGCTGTAGCAGATTTCTCACCATGTCTAAAACAGCAAATTACACAAACAATATTTCTGCCATTTCCTATTTCATTACAAAACTAGTTTTCCATGTTTTTTTGCAAAATTCACGTCTTATCGCATAGTGTGGCATATATGGGACGTTTTTGACGTTTTACGTACAGATGTGTTGCTATATTTATATGGCACATAAAGCTTTTTTCGAAGTATTTTGAAGAAGAAAACAATTGTATACATATTTTCAATGGTTTCTGAGTTTCTGAAT